CCAGCAGGTTGAGGCTGTGGTGGCCGGGAGCGGCCACTGCACTTCAGTCTGGGTGACAGAGTGAGACTCCAGCTCAAAAAAAAAGAAAAGGAAAAAACAGAGATGGGGAAGAATTGAACTTAAAATTCGTGGGAACTTCTCTTTATCTTAAGTAATGCTTAATTATACTAATTTTCTTACCTATAAATAACAAGAAATATTGGCTATGGTTTTCAAAGCACTTCTGTCCACAACTTCTCATTTTGCCTAGATTCTTGTTGGCTGATCTGCAGGTATCTGGGGCCTGCAGTGGCTTATTCCTACTGTAGCAAAGACTGAAGAAGATGTTTGCTGGACACGTGGAGAAAGAACTTCCTTGTTCTCCACTGAGAGCTTCTGAAATTTATCTTTTCTTTCCTCCTGTGCTCTTTCTTCCCTCTAAGGGGCTTTATCTTCCCCAAAAGTAAGGCTTACAAAGTTGGGGCAGGGTAGGTTTTTCAGACGAAAATCCGAAATTCATGTTTTATGTCTTGGGAAGACTTAAAGAAACGTCATGGCTCTGAAAAGAGGAGAAAGAAAAAAACCAAGAAAAGTCCATTATTGTCATAATGCAGTAAAAATAGAAAACATGAGAGAAACAGTAAGAAAATGACCATATTTAGACTAGTGGCTTTCAATCTTGATAGCATGTTTGAATCACTTGTGAACTTTAAAAGATTAATCTGGGTCCTGCCTCCCAGAGTTTCAGATGCAATTGGTCTGGGTGCCACCTGGGTGTCAGTTGGGACTTTAAAAGCTCTTGATGGCCTCAGTAACATGGTGAGACTTCATCGTTACAAAAAAAAAAAAAAGGAAAAATTAGCCAAGCATGGTGGTGTATATTATCCCAGTTACTTGGGAGGCTGAAGTGGGAGGATTGCTTGAGCCCACGAGGTCAAGGCTGCAGTGAGCTCGGGTCATGCCACTGTATTCCACCCTCCAGCCTAGATGAGAGAGTGAGACCCTGCTTATAAACAAACAAATAAACAAAATAAAAGCTCTCAACCTTTGGGAGGCTGAGATGAGTGGATTGCCTGAGCCCACGGGTTCGAGACCCGCCTGGGCAGCGAGACCTCATCTCTACAATAAATCAAAAAATCAGCCAGGCGTGGTAGCACATGCCTGTAATTCCGGCTACTTGGAAGGCAGGTCGAGGCTGTGGTGGTCGGGAGCGGCCACTGCACTCCAGTCTGGGCGACAGAGTGAGACTCCAACTCAAAAAAAAAAAAAAAAGCTCTCGAGGTGATTGTTCTATGCTGTGGGTGTTAAGAACCACCAGCTCCATAGTCAGCAGTGCTTCTTCCCACAGCTGGGGCTGCTGCTTTGAGGTTTGTAGTCATGTATAACCTGCATTGGGGGAACATCTGCTATCTGATCTTTGCCACTTTCATAGATTTGTTTGACTCCCATGCAAACTTGAAAAGTACGTGCCGTTTTGGAATGGGGTGTCTAACATAAGTCACATTCTTGGGTTGGATGAAAACAATATGTTCTGTGGGAAAATACAATCGGCCTTCGTGCAAATACGTGTGCTTATTACAGCAAGTCTGTCTAAGACTCCTGCTTTCCAAGTGAAACCCACAGGAGGCTAGAAGTCCCACACAAATGGGAGGGACGGAGAGAAGACAAGTCAGACCAGAAGACAAAGTAGATGAGATTTTTTTTTTTTTTTTGAGTTGGAGTCTCACTTCATCGCCCAGGCTGGAGTGCAGTGGCACACTCACAGCAACCCCAGCGTCGACCTGCTGGGCTCCAGCAATCCTTCTGCCTCAGCCTTCCAAGTAGCCAGAACTACAGGCACACACTACCATGCCCGGCTAATTTTTGATTTGTTGTAGAGACGAGGTCTCCCCAATTTGCCCGGGCTGGCCTTATGTCCATGGGCTCAGGCAATCCACTTGCCTTGGCCTCCCATAATGCTGGGATTACATGCTGAGCAACCAAGCCTGGCCGCAGATGAGATTTTAAAAGGAGCAGAGGTCAGAAAAGTTAACACCTATGAAAGATGGGAAAGCTTTGGAACATTTGTGTAGAATAGCCATTATGAACACGTCAGCAGATTTTAACATACTGGGATGAGTTCAAATGACAAGGGGGACACCAGAAGGGGGTGATGTCTGGGGTCTGGGTGATGTCTTGTGGAGATGCCCCCAGGGTCTGGCTGGCGGAGGTGTTGCTGGTGTCTTCTTCCATTCTCCACCTGCAGGGTGTATGAAGAGTGTCAAACTGTTTATGTTTGCGGACAAACAGCTTTCCTGGAAGATGTTAGTAGCATCATCTTTTTAAATTGGAAACAACCATGGCCTTAGAAGATTTTCCTGTAAATGCTTTTTTTAAAAGCCTTAATATCACACTTCTTTGCTGTCCTAGTAAGATTGTTTTGAGGCTTAATGGAACTTTCTTAAAGTTGATGAGTCTTTATTAAAAAACCATCTGCTCTTATTGATGCTGGGCATTTTCTACTTAAGATGGCTTTCATATCCTGGGGACTCTACTGTTCCTCAATGTTAAAGATGTTCAATGAGACAATAATTGATATTAATAGTTTTTCTACTAAAAATTTTTAAAAATATGTCAAAGAAAAATACCTAGTGTTGAACACATTTATGCGGTGCTTCTGGTTTTTAAAACTGCCTTTGAGAATTGCCATACCAGCATTGGGTGTGGTGGCTCACAGCTATAATTCCAGCCCCTTGGAAGGCTAAGGCAAGAGGATCATTTAGTGCCAGGAATCGAGACCAGGAATTCAAGACCAGACTGAGAAACATGGAAAGTCCCGGTGTCTGTCTCTCTCTCTCTCTCTCATATATATATATATATATATATATGATGTATACACACACACATACACACACACCCTGGTGTAGTGGCACACACATCTATAGTTCCAGCTACTTGGGAGACTGAAGTGGGATGACTGCTTGAGCCTAGGAATTTGAGGATGCAATGCGCTATAATCATGACACACATTTCAGCCTGGGTGATAGAGCAAGGCTCTATCTCTAAAAAAAAAAAAAAAAAAAAGGAAAAAAATATTAAAGAATTATACCAGCCCTGAGAATGCATGTGACTTAAAAAGTAATCAGTTCTTACAGCGGTTAATTCATCTATGAGATTACTGTTCCACTTCTATTTTTAATCCAAGCATTTATCTTTATTCTGGAGCATTTTAAAACAACTTTCTTGATCTATAATAGATAAACATTAACCTTCATTTATTTGAAGTATACAGCTTGATGAGTTTTGATATGTGAATACACTTGTGATGGTAAAACCACGACCAGGATAATGAACATATCTGTAACCCCTGGAAGTTTCCTTATACTTATTTGTTATCTGTCCTTTTTTCTATCCCCTCCTCTCCTGTCCCCACACAACTGCTGATCTGGTTTCTGTCACTGTAGGTTAGTTTGTATTTTCTAGAGTTTTATATAGTTAGACTCACAGTGAGTACTCTTTTTTGGGGGGAAGGGATTGCCTTCTTTCACTCAGCACAATTATTTTGAGATTCACCTATTTTGTTGCACCTATTAGTCATTCATACCTTTTTATTGCTGAATAGCATTCCATTGTATAGATATATTACATTTTGTTTACCTACTTACTTGTCCATGGACATTTTAGTGGTTTCTAATTTTTGGCTGTTGAGCTGTGATGAACATTCGTGTGCAAGTGCAGATTTGGAATGAAGTGTCTAATGTGAGCCACATTCTTGGTTTGGATGCACAAGTCTTTGTGTGAACATATGCTCTCTTTCTTTTTAGTAAACACTTAGGAGTAGAATGGTTGGGTCGTACTTTTTAGCTTTTTGAGAAACTACCAAACTGTTTTCCAAAGTAAATGTTCATTCTTATCAACAATGTATGAGAGTTCCAGTTGCTCTTTGACAAAACTTGCAACTATAAAAGGAATTTTGTGTTTTTTATACATGTATAGTATGAGTATATGTAGTATATAATTTTGGGCTATATTTTTGTATATATATATATATACATGTGTATATGCATGCATTGCTTAACATTGTGAGAAATTTAGGCAATTTCATCATTGAGCGAACATCATAAAATATACTTACACAAACCTAGATGGTACAGCCTACTACCTAGGTCATCGCTGTTTACTACTGTAGACTTTATAGACACTGTACATTTAGGTTTCATGAAATCTGTAAATAAATATTTTTCTTTCTTCAATATTAATTAATCTTAACTTACTGTAACTTTATAAACTTTTAAAACTTTTTTGTAATAACACAGCTTGAAACACAGACACATTGTACAGCTGTATGAAATATTTTTTCTATATCCTTATCTGCAAGCTTTTTCTATTTTTAAACTTTTTTTTTTTTTAGTTTTTAAACTTTTTGTTTAAAGCTCAGGCACAAACACACACACTGGCCTAGGACTACATGGAGTCAGGATCGTCAATATCACCATCTTTCACCTCTGCATCTTGTCCCATGAAAGGTCGTTAGGGGCAGTAACACACAGGAAGCAGTCATCTCCTATGATGACAGTGTCTTCTTCTGAAATACCTTGTGGAGGACCTGCCTGAGGCTGTTTAACAGTTAGCATTTTTGGTTAGTAAGTAGAAAGAGTGTACTCTAAAAATAACGATTAAAAGTATAGTAAATACATAAACTAGTAACATAGTCATTTATTATCACTACCAAGTATTATGTACTGAATGTAATTGTATTTGCTAGACTTTTATATGACTGGCAGTGCAGTAGGCTTGTTTGCACCTGCACCTTCACAAACATGTGAGTAACGCCTTGTGTATGACATTATGATAGCTACAAAGTCACTTTTGAGCTCCATAATCTTAGGGGACCCTCGTCGTGTATGTGGTTCATTGCTGACTGAAATATCGTCATGGGGTACATGACTGTATATGTATTTGTACATGTATGTGTACGTAACAGTATATATGTGTATAAATGTACCATATAACTTCATGTGCATTTCTATTAGGTGTTTATTTTCTTTCCTCCTCTGAGAGTCTATATGTGAATTTAAGAAAGTGGAGGGTGCCTGGGCTCAGCCCCTCACTGCAGCATTCTCGGCATCCAAGGGAGACATTCTGAGGTATATGTATGTCACTGTTCATGTTGGCCACCTCTGAAAGAGTAGGGTTTGGGGAGCGGTAAGGGGGATCTCCTTTAATACTTGATGCAGACTTAAAAAGGAAAAAGAATCATGGCCTCTCGCACTCTGACTACTGCTCTCCCTTGCTCCCTCCCAATGGGAACAGGACCTTCTCCTGGCAGCTGCCTTTGTTTCGGATGCCCAGTACAGCAGAAATGTCCCATTTGAGACATCGCCTCAGGCCATCAGGTAATAAACGTGTGAAACCAACATAGGGCCCCACCTGTCCATCAGTACTTGGTATTCTTGAAGTTGAATCAAAGCTGAAGGCATTGTTTACACAGATATTTTGAGAAGTATATAGGATACGGCACATAGATTTGGATAAAATACAGTACTTTTGCTTAAGTTAGAAGAGCATTCAATAAGCAAGCATTCAATAAGAACAGATAAGTGGGTAAATAAACAACACCCAAGACAGGACACAGGGCATTCAAGGGAAGAATATGCCATTGTCTTTTCCGCATAACTAGAGTTGTCCTCTTAGAGATACCTCAAGTGAAAAGAAGGCTTCTAGTTCCTTTCGGTTTTTTGTTTGTTTGTATTTAGTCAGGGTTTCACTCTGTTACCCAGACTGGGGTACAGTGCCACAATCATGGCTTACAGCAACTTCAACCTCCTGGATTCTGGCGATCCTTCTGCCTCAGCATCCCAAGTAACTGGGATTACAGATGTGCACCACCATGCCTGACTAATTTTTTTTTAATTTTTATTTTTGTAGAGATGAGATTTCATTATGTTGCCCAGGCTGGTCTCGAACTCCTAGGCTCAAGCAGTCTTCCCACCTTGGTCTCCCAAAGGGCTGGGATTACAGTTTTGAGCCACCACAGCTGGCCATTTCTGTTATCTTTTGACGCAATCCATACATTGGTTCTTCTCATGGGATTTCAGCTTTTTCTCTATCATCCCCTATAGATGCTCAGTATATCTCTTACCAGGGCTGAATGGTTCCTCATGCCTCTTCTCTGGTTGCAGTTGGGCAGGTTTAGGGGGACCGTCTCCACCAAGGGAAAGACCTGCATGACTGCCAGGTATCTTCTGAGGCTACCACGTTACAATGGAATGATGTACATTTTAACATTGGGTCAAGCTGGGCAACAAAGCAAGATCTTGTGTCTACAAAAAATAGACAAATTAGCTGAGCATGGTGGTGCATGCCTGTAGTTCCAGCTATTTGGGAAACTAATGCAGGAAGGTAACTTGACCCCAGGAATTCAAGGCTACAGTGAGCTGTAATTGTGCCACTGCACACCAGCCTTGTGACAGAGCGAGACCCTGACTCAGAAAAACAAAGACCAAAAAACACTGGGCCAGACTGCCATGCCACACACATTACAGTAGGTCACTCAAACTGAGGGTTTGCTGTGCATCCGTCACCGTTCAGAGTGCAAGTTTTCTCATATTATTTTTACAACAACCATGTGAGGAAGGTACGAATGCTAGCTTGAGACTGTTAAGAAAATATGCTTCGAGATATGGTGATATTCTTGATTTTTTTCTGTATTTTGTAGTAGATGATCATTAAATACTGTTCTCTGTTCCCTAGAATTTAAAGGAAATATTTTAGAGCTTCAATTTCTTTCACCTATCATTAATCTTTTTTTTTTTTATTTTAAGAAAGCAGGCTTTATTGAGAGGACAGAAAAGCTCCCATAGCAGAAGGGGACCTGAAGGGGTTGCCCTCATTAATATTTTAAAGAGAAGTTTGAGTGCTATTTATCTCCTATTCCTTGTTTATAACCACCTCTGTTTTTTTTCTTCTCCAGACTTTACTATTTTTATAACCACTGGACAATGCGAGTAGCCACATACTTCTTTATTTGGGTAGACCTTTCTCTTGCCCTGTTTGAAGAACCTGCATTGTTTCCACTACCTTTCTTGGTAAGCATTTAGCATCAGATGGCTAGTCAGATTTTGTCATAGATGAGATGGGCCCCCACCCCTCTTCCTTTGTTCCCCCTCAAATTTCAACAAATGAGATTATGTTTTTCTTGTTGGGGTCTAGATGAATGCTGTCTACTCGCCAAGCCAATGCTTCAATCATAAGGCATTTCAAGTGCAACAGAAGTTTTTGGTCTTCTGGGCACACAAGGAAAAATCAGATAGAGATGATATAAATGATGTTTTAAAAGCATATTTACTTAGTGCCAAGTAGATGTAGACTGTAGTATGAGACTTGTACATGCCACATTTTCAGTTTTCATCGTCATAAATCATTAGAGTATCTATTGGTGTTTAGTAGCTCATCATGTGATTTTGAGTAATATATCAAATAACCAGCTAATCCGGAGGGGTCTAAATAATGAACCGATGCCTTGCCCGTGTTGATTTCTGTCTCATCACTGCTCTCACCACTGTCTTGATGGTTGTCATTTGCTCTCTGCTTACCATCTGCTGCGTGCTCCAAGCACTTTCTCTGTCTTCTCCTTAAACCTCATAGTAACCCCCTGGGATGTGCACTGCTGTTGTCACCCTCATGATGAGGAAGCCTTAGAAAGTTGCATAACTTGTCCAGCGTCACTTGACAACAAAGGTAGAACTAGGCTTCAAGCCCAAGTCTGTCTGTGTTTAAAGCTACTGCTTTTTAATAATCACACGGACCCTCCTTTATTCTTCCATTTTCAGTTATCTGTTGCTGTGTAACAAACCACCCTAAATTCAGGCACTTAAAACTACAGCCTGTGGGCCAAATTCAACTGCTTCCTGTTTTTTTTTTTCTTGCTTGTTTTTTGTTTTACAGTCTGTGAGCTTAAGAATGGTATTATAAACAGAATGCTTGTGTCATCCTGAAATCCACATGTTGAAACCTAATCACCTCCATGATGGTATTTGGAGGTGGGAGGTGATTACATTGGGAGGTGATTACATCATGAAGGCAGTGCCCTCATGAATGCAATTAGTCCCCTTGTAAAAGATGCCTTGGGGAGCTTCTCTGTCCCTTCTGCCATGTGAAAACACAGCAAAAAGATGACTGTCTATGACCAGAAAGTGGACCCTCACCAGACATCAAATTTGTCAGTGTCTTGATCTTGGACTTTGCAGCCTCTAGAACTGTGAGAAATAAATTCCTGTTGTTTACTTGCCACTCAGTCTATGGTGTTCTGTTATAGCAGCCTGAATGGACTAAGGCAAATACTTTTCACATTTTTAAATGATTGGAAAACAAATCAAGGAAGATTACTATTTTGTGACACATGAAAATTGTATGAAATTCAAATTTTAGTGTCTGCAAATAACGTTTTATCGGAACACAGCCACACTTATTCATTTATCTATTAACTACGGCTACTTTTGAGCCACAGTGACAGAGCTGAGTAGTCATAACAGAGATTGTCTGACTTGCAGAGCCTATCATATTTACTATCTGGCCCTTTAACAGAAGCAATTCTCCAACCCCTAGCTTTAAGGACCAATAGCCTTTTAGTATCTCCCACGATTCTGTGCGAGACTGGGCAGATTTTCTGCTTGGGTGATGTTGACGAGAGTGATAGACATCTGGAAGCTCTGTAGACTGGAGGCTGGATCATCCAAGATGGCTCTTTCACATGGCTGGCAGGTGCTGCTGGCTGCAGCTATGGACTGGAGCACTCCAGCTCCTGTCTGTGTGGCTGTTCCACGTAGCTTAGGCTTCTCCTAATGGGTAGCTGGGTCTAGAAAGGAGCATCCTGGGCTCAGCCTGTAATCCTGTGCCTTTGGGAGGCTGAAGTGAGTGGATTGCCTGAGCCTGCGGGTTCGAGATCTGCCTGGGCAGACGAGACCTCATCTCTACAATAAAATCAAAAAATTAGCCGGGTGTGGTAGCGCGCACCTATAATTCTGGCTACTTGGAAGGCTGAGGTGGAAGAATTGCTGGAGCCCAGCAGGTCGAGGCTGCGGTGGCTGGGAGCGGCCACTGCGCTCCAGTCTGGGTGACAGAGTGAGACTCCAACTCAAAAAAAAAAAAAAGAAAGGAGCATCCTGGCATGCAGCCACCATCAAACCTCTGCTTGCATCACACTTGCTGATGTCCTTTTGGCCAACGCCAATCACGTGCCCAAGTTAATGTGGGAGGACACCGTACAGGGGGTGAAAATCGCAAGTATGATTCACTGAGGGTTGCCAGAGTGACATCTACTATGGTAAAGATGCTGCAGTTAAGTCTTCTTTCCTGGATAGAAGACTTTTAATCCGGTGACTGTCAAGACCAGACACAAAGTCTGAAGAAGCAGAGCTGTGCATTCCCAGACCTAGCCAGGGTGTTGTCTCCCTCCCTCACACTGGCCCGCTCCAGCCAAGGTGGGAATCCAGCAGAGCTGTCAACCCAACCACTTGCCTCTTCTCCCGAGTCCTCACCTCTGTCTGTTCTTGATCACACAGAGCTTTGGGTTGGCTGCCTAGGCTTCAGAGCATTCCTTGAACCAGCACTTGTACTCTAAGTTTCTAAAGTCACATGTGCTTTGGAAGTCTTTGACCCCAGTCCAGCATTACCAAGCAAGTCTTGTTTTGAGCAGGGGTGGCCTAGAATTACCCCAGACCCTTTTGCAAGCCTGGCCTCAACAGTGGGTCTCTAGAGCTCTTCAAGGGTGAACAGACTGAGAGCTAGAAGGTTTGTAAGGGGCTGCAGCCCAGACCCATGAGGGCTGCAAGATGGTGGGATGATTTTGTCACCTGCTGCTTAGAGCCAACCCCTTTCTCCGTGTCTCTTAAAGAGTCCCTTCCCTCCAGACCCTCTTCCTGGCCTAAGCCCCTTTCTGTCTCTTCCTACCTTCCATCCTTCCTTCCCTGTTGGTGGAGGAAAGTGCCCTGGTTAGGAAGTGTTATTGCATCGCAGAAACCCCAGGCAGATCCTGGGCTTCAGTCACAAGCTGCAAGTCTATCTGGCTGCAGGAGTTTGGCATTAGTGCCCCTAGGGTGACTTATGGAGGAAGGCGGGTCAGGACTTGGCTCTGAATCTCAAAGGGCTCTGCCCTTCCCTCTAACCAGCCTCACAGAGGCAGCAGGACTGCAGCAGCAGTGCTGTTTAAGGAATGACTTCCATTTCCAAACACATCTTCAGGGAGTTACCTTGCTATTAGAGAAATGAGACTCCCCCCCCCCCATCGGAGTCTCTCTGTTACCCAGGCTGGAGTGCAGTGGCATACTCACAGCCACCACAACCTTGACCTACTGAGGTCAAGCAATCCTTCCACCTCAGCCTTCCAAGTAGCTGGAACCACAGGCGTGCCACCATGCCCAGCTAATTTTTTTTTTAATTAGAGGCAAGGGCTTGCCAAGTTACCCAGGCCGGTCTCGAGCCCCTGGGCTCAGGCAATCCTCTTGCCTCTGCCTCCCAAAGTGCTGGGATTACAGGCATGAGCCTCTGCGCCTGGCCAAGAGAAACAGGATTTCTATAGTAGATGTGTATTCTGAATTTGAAGATGGGAATTTGAACACATAGACGATGCCTGCTTCCAACCTCCCCCTTTTCTGGGGAAATGTGTTCTTGGTCTTCAGCCGGCTGGCACAGCCCCTCCCAAGATGCTTTGCCAGTATGGGTTGTGGAATTCATGACTCATGGGCAGGTTTCCTTTAAAGAGAAAGAAATCATTCCAACCAGCAGGGAATTCTGCTATAATTTTAAGGGCTATGACTAATTCTCAGAGGGTGCTAGGCAGAAAAGGTTGGGTGGTGTCAGAGGGGGGCACAAGAGGAGGTACTCAGCCTCTCCTTTTTTCTTTGCAGGCTACCTCCATAGCAGAAGTCCTCTGCCTGGCTGCATTCTTTGGGAGACTCATGCATTTTGCAAAAGTTACTTCTCAAATGGTTTTCTGGAAGGATTCAAAAAATATCTGCATCATGGTAACCATAGTGGTGAGTGTTCATTGTAGGGACCAAAGACAGCAGCAAGAGTTAGTGACCAAAGGCAGCAGCCATGAAGAAAAAAGACTTGATGGATGTGTCTTTGTTTCTTTGTTTGAGTTGGAGCCTCATTCTGTCACCTAGACTGGAGTGTAGTGGCACACTCGTGGCCACCGCAGCCTCAACCTGCTAGGCTCAGGTGATCCTTCTACCTCAGCCTTCTAAGTAGCTGGGACCACAGGCACGTGCCATCACACCCGACTACTTTTTATTGGTTTATTGCAGAGATGAAGTCTTGCCATGCTGATCAGACTGGTTCGAGCCCCTCGGCTCAGGCAGTTCCCTTGCCTCCGCCTCCCAAAGTTCTGGGATTACAGGCATGAGCCACCATGCCCAGCCAATGATGTGCCTTTGTTAAAACAGCAATAACACTTTCATTTAGCAAACACCCTAAGCACAACTGCAAGCACAAGTATGAAAAATATGACTGTAAATGTTTTAGCATATCAAGAACACTTCAAAATTAAAGGGAAAAACAAAGATAGATATCCCAATAGATAACTTTACTAAGTACAGTGACCACTTATATACCTAATCCTGAACTGTACCCATATTTAAAATTAAAACAAGAAAAAGATAACTGTGCTAAAAATAGGCCAAGGCAACTTCTAAAGAAGAAACACATAAAAAGGCTGATAGGAAAGATGTTTAACATCACTAATTGGAAATCATAGAATAAAAGATCAATAAAGTGCTGTGTGTTTGCCTATGAAACAATTTTAGCAAGACTGAGAGAAAACAAATCTCCTCATGCCCTATTGGAGAGGGGAATAAAGTGATTTTTCTGGAAGGCTATTTGGCAGTCTCTTTCAAAAGCCTTACAGGTGAATATGCTTGCACCATGAACTTCCATTCCTGGGAATTTATCTGTAGAAAAAAAGGAAGCACTCAAAGATTTAGCATCAAAATTGGTGGGGACTGACCTGTTCATAATATTAAAAAACTGGAAACTTAGTTTTTAACAATAGATGTGTGTTAAATAAAATGTGGTAACATTCATGAAGCCCTTTCTCTCTCTCTCTCTCTCTCTCTCTCTCTCTTTTTGAGTTGGAGTCTCACTCTGTTGCCCAGGCTGAAGTGCAGTGGCATGCTCATGGTCACCGCAGCCTTGACCTGTTGGACTCAGGTGATCTTTCCGCCTCAGCCTTCCGAGTAGCCGGAACTACAGGCACGCGCTAGCACGCCTGGCTCATTTTTTGATTTATTGTAGAGACGAGGTCTCGCCAAGTTGCCCAGGCTGGTCTCAAACCCTGGGCTCAGGCAATCCACTCACCTCGGCCTCCTAAAGTGCTAGGATTACAGGCTTGAGTCACTGTGCCTGGCCCATGAAGCCCTTTAAAATGGTGTTCAAGGCACGTATGTGTCTGCTTTTGAGAGATGCTTACCATCTATTAAGTCAAAAGAGCAAGTTGGAGAGGGCACAGTGGCTCACACCTTGTAATCCCAGCACTTTGGGAGGTGAAAGTAGAAGAATTGCTTGAGGCAAAGTGTTCAAGACCAGCCTAGGCAACATAGCAAGACACCGTTTCTACAGAAAAAAAGATTTTTTAAAGAGCAAGTTATAATATAGTTAGTTAGATCACATCTTGGTTAAAAAGAAAAAAGGAAAGAACGTTATATATTCATAGAAAAATCTGGCATGACATATGCCAAGCAGGGTAATGCATCCTGAAATGCTCCTGCAAGGAGCAGAGAGGCTACTTGTGTGATGAGGTCAGGGTGCTTTCTACTTAACACATCCGCACAACAGCCACCATAGTTCTATCCCCACGCCTCTGTCTGGAGAGTCATCTGTTCCCAGAGCTTCCACAACACTTCCAGTGGGTACAAGTCCCCATGCTGTAGCTGACATTGGTTTCTCCTCTGAGTTCCCCAACTCTGTGGCAGACACTCGCTAGTCATTTCCACATCAGTGTCTCAAACGCAGTGGACCAAAGTCACCCTCCTCTTCCTAGCTGCTTCCCTTTGTCCATGTGGCATTATCTCCTGTCACCCCCTCCCACAAGTCCTCACTGTCACGGTTCCCTCCCTCCTCTCCCACACCTGGTCTCCCTAAGCACCCCAAGATGCCACTTACATTGTTTCCCTTTCCTCCTGCTCCCAGTCTGTGCACTTTGGTCTCTGATCTGGCCTCCTGCAGTGTCTCTGGTGCATGCCATGTGTCTTGTCACAATGTGATCCAGGCCCGTCCCCCTTCTCCTCAACCTCAGAAACCTGACACAGGCATGTTACATGCTGCCACGGGATTAATTCTCTGGAGGCACCCCTTAGATCACTTCCCTTCTTTGCCTGAAAATGTTTACAATCTCCACAGACTGTTGAATATGGCGGCTCCACCAGTCCTTGCAATCATGTTTCATATGGTATTCTTTGCTCAGATTATGCAAAATATCTGTCCTTTTCTGATTTTTAGAACCATCTTAATTTTCTATCATTAAAAAAGTAATACAAGCGCAATCCATCTGGGACAGTACCTGTGAACACGAGCTTGGATTCAATCCAAAACACAGTGCAGGATGAGGAAGGATGGACTGGGTGGGAAAACTGGAAAAAAAAAACAACGGAGGGGGGAACAAGGGGAAGTTATTTTTGGAAGAAAGAGAAATCCAAACAACACAGAGTGTAAAATAGAAAAAGACAGCCCCACCTAGATGAGTCTTTCTTGACCGGTGCCCTTTGTGCTTGGTTCCCTGCGCGGTCTCAGGGTGGAATGCTCTCCCATGCGCCTGTTTCTTAGCACACTTCTTCGCAGTGTTTAGAAAACAGTTGGTGCTCACGTGCTTCCACGGCCCAAGTAGACTCACAGGACTCCCCTGCTCTGAGTCTCCCAGTGGTTTTCCATCCCACGCAGAGAAAAGCCCACGTTTTCTTTGTAGCCACAGGCTCACGTCCCTCCCCGTCCCCGCCAGCCTCACCTCTTCCCACTTTTCCTGTCCATCCCCTGCTCTCCGCATGGCGGGCTGGCCCTGTGCCCTGCGTGGGCCTGGGCACTGCAGAGCCCTTTCCTGGAGCCCCGCCCCCCACTTCCACGTGGCCTCCCCAGCAGCCCTGCCTCCTCCAGATTTCCTTTTGAGCATTTCTGCCACCGGCGCAGAGCACATTCATTACCGGTACACCCTCCTTCCCTATCTGGGCGTGCGCTCTGGAGGGCGGCGCCCTGACTCGCTTTCTGCTCCTCCCCTCCAGGTAGAACAATGCCTTTCACGCACAACCACCTGCACACGCGGATGCAGTGAAGGGGTGAGGCGCACTCTCCCCCCTCCCAGGCTGTCCTGCCTCTGCTACCAGGGTCATCTCGCTTTTTGCTCCCGTTGCTCTTATTTGAAAAACTTCCAGGGTCCCCCCGGCCCCAGGAATGTACCTTTTCAGCCTGGCCCTCAAAGCCATCAAGGAGCCTCATTATATCAAGGAGCGCCTCCTCCAGGAGGCCTCCCCAGATATCCTGACCCTTGGTTGTTCACTCCTCCCTGCTCCAATGCAGCCGCCTTGAACTAGGTTCATTTCCCATCTCTTCCCCTTGCATGTGGGGTGCCCCTTAAGGGTTGGATCTCACTGAATCCTCTGTTCCTTATACCAAATGCCCAGAATTCATGTTTATTTGATGATAGTAGATATTATTCTTTCTTAAATGTATATGCTTCTAAAATAAACTATGCTCTTCTTTTGCCTCGTCCTGATATTAGCCTTTTTTCCCACAAATCCAACATTAATAAGAATTAATAAGGGTTTTCTGTATTCTAGATTTTTGTACCTCTGTTACTAGGCTAGACACCCTCTCTTTGACACATCAAATTGAAGCGTTTGGAAGGATGTCGTGTGGAAGCATGTAGCAGTGTGATTAATACTAAGGTCTCGGACCTCAGACTGTCTGGCTTCTGGTCTCAGTTCTACTGTGTGACCAGGACTATGTGCTCACCCTTTCTGTGTCTCAAGGGCCTCCATCCAGGAGTAGTGTCCACCTGATTGGGGTGGTGAGTCTATAAGGAAATAATCTACAGGTGCTTATCATATTACATGGCACATAGGAAACCTGCAAACAGCTATGGTTAATGTTATATTTCAGAAGTGGAATTATGCTGTTTATGAAAGTTGCTTGTAACATAACGTCGTGACTCTCCTGGTCAGTAAAGAAACATCCAGGTCGTTACCTCATCTGTCCTCTGACAGTGTAATACTCATGTCGTGATCCTGTGTCTCTCACAGCTGACCTTGATTGATCTTATTATCTACGGGTCCCTGGAAGCTGTTAACATCCGCAGCGTTAGATGGTCAAGGGCCTTGAGGCCAATCTTCCTAATTAACTTCCCTGAAAGTCGTCAGGTAAGGATAGGATTGAGGCCACGTGATGGTTTGTTTTGGCTTTTGCAGAAAACTAGCCGATTCGCCATAACTGAAATTGAACTTTGTCTTTCTTCATAGATCCGAAGGGCCCTCCGAAGCCTCCGGAACACTCTACCTGACATCCTGTATGTCTTCCTCTTGTTTATGTTCAGTGTACTGATATTCTCCCTGATGGCCCTGAAGCTTTTTGGGGACAGGTGAGCAGACTTCTCTGGAAGTCTCTGCCTGTGAATCCTCCCTTATCTGGGTTAAGGCCGCTGGTGGAGGGGTCTGATGCTGGACACTGTTTTATCCTTGTTCGCACGTTGCAGGAGTCTCTTGAAAGGGGGAGCGTGCATTAGAATCCACAGCTTCATTCACGGGTGTGGTTTTCACCTTGTGCTTTTCGTTCCTCTTTAGGGGTCTGAAAACAGCAGAGGGATCTCCTTACTTCGAAAACATTCTGGAGATAGCGTTTGAGCTCTACGTGCTGGTCACTACAGCGAACAGCCCTGACGTCATGTACGCACATCCCTAATCTGTGTTCTTGGACCTTGTTCATCATAACAGAATTCTTGTTATTAAAAGCAGCTGTCTCCTGACACTAGCAGAGCTGAGGGAGGAAAATGTGATTTTCTGTTTAATTCTATTCATTGTGAAAATTTTAAAGAATATAAAATTTCATCCTAATGATAGCCAACTCTATTTAAAACTAAATTTAAATGACTTCTTTTTAAATGGAAAGTTTTGGAGACATCTCTTGAGATACAACTCTTCATATTTGAGCCCACTGTCTATTCTAGAATCTTCTTTGAGTCCACTTTAAAGACCTAGGGCGGGTGCGGTAGCCCATGCCTATGATCCCAGCACTTTGGGAAGCCAAGGCCAGAAGGTCGCTTGAGGCCAGGAGTTCAAGGTCAACCTAGGCAACATAGCATGACCTCGTCACTACCAAAAAAAAAAAAATTTGAACAGATTGCCAGGTGTGGTGGCATGCGCCTGCAATCCTAGCTACTCCAGGGGCTGAGGCGGGAGGCTTGCCTGAGCCCAGGAGGTCAAGGCTGCGGTGAGCTGTGATTGTGCCACTGTACTCCCCCCTGTGTGCGAGAGAGCGAGACCCTGACCAAAATAAATAAATAAATAAATAAAAGATCGAAACCATCTTTGCACCTTTGGATCTTAGGAGCTGGTTCTCCTGAGCATTCATGCAGCGTTTTTGTTTTTGTTTTTTGTTTCATGAAACAGGAAAGAAATGTGAACTTCAGTCGTTTCTGCCTTCTCCCCAAATGCCAGTTCTCCACTCGTGTGGACATTGCTTAGGAGGAAAATCATCATGAGCTTTATCTACTTTCTTCTTGTTATGAATTTACTTTGTGTGTAGGGGTCACGTTAGTAAACATTGCTGCCCTGAGCAAACAGCTCTTCAGCTCTCGAGGGTGTGCAGAGCCTGAGTCAGTCCACCTCTCCCATCGTGCACTTTGGGTGGGGGGGTGGCTTTTCTGTTGTCTCATGATGAGAAGAGGGTCATCAGATCAACTTGTTCTTGGTGGTTGCTCACTCTTGGGCCTGGCTCTCAGACCCCAGGTTGCCAGTCGTGCCAGTGTCCCCTTCTGTTTCCACCAAAGTGGAGTGAGTACATATCCGACAGAAGGCTCTCATCCTACCACGGTTATTAATAGGGTGCCTTTCATTCTTACTGTCCCAAGGCGGATAGACTATAGTCTGGCCCCAGTGAGGGCAGGCAGTCTGGTGTCCTGCAGGACCCAGACTCGGCACTGCAGGGCCCTTTTCCAAACCACAAATTCTGATCCCTTCGTAATTCCGGGCTAGTTGCTCTCTTTTCTAGGCCTAGATTTTCTCGTTGTGAAGGGAGAGAGATGAGGCAATCTCTGAGGTCCTGCCCGCTGGGAGAGCTGGCACCTCTGGAAGGCACTAAAAATTTCAGCAGGATGGGTTCAGCGTTAGTGACAGTGCTGGCTTGGTGGCCCCGTGGCACCCCATGGGGGGAGAGTGAGCTTTAGAGGAGGTTTTCTGGTGCCTTGTGCACATGTGTCATGCATGTGGGATGTCACATCCCAAGGGTCAGCCTTGTCATGCCTTGGGGAGCTGGAGGATAAAAAGCCATGAAACTCGATGATTTCTTTCCAGGATGCCTGCCTACGACTTCAATTGGTGGTATTCTTTGTACTTTATAACCTACATCATCATCAATACCTACATCTTCATGTCCGTCTTTCTGGCTGTGGTCTACAGCAATTACAGGAAGCACCTGAAGGTAACATGGTTGAGCCCCACACGGCAGGGCATGGGGGGCAGGTGCCTGGGCGAGTTGCAGCAGCAGGGAGGCAGGCAGGCAGGCGGGCGAGCGCATTCGCTGATTATTACAATGTGTCCCTGATCTACTGACTTTGGCGAATTTGAAGGCTTGTTTGGTGTCTTGCTCCATTCTGCCAAGCGGAGTGGCTCTTCACAGTCTTCGTGGTGGGTCTGACTGTGTGTCTGAGGAGATTTAAAGGATTGAGGTCTTGACCAGGACACCGTCAATGTCGGGTGCTGTTTGCCTCTTGCTTAACACATCAAATCGTTCGTGGCTCCTTGAAACTTTTTTTTTGTGGAGTCGGAGTCTCACTCTGTTGCCCAGGCTGGAGTGCAGTGGCACGCTTGCGGCCACTGCAACCTTGAGCTGCTGGACTCAGGCAATCCTGCCACCTCAGTCTTCCAAGTAGCTGAAACTACAGGTATGTGCCACCATGTCCAGCTAGTTTTTTTTTATTTATTGTAGAGACGAGGTCTCATCAGATTTCCCAGGTTGGTCTCGAACCCATAGGCTCAGGCAATCCTGTGGCCTCAGTCTCCCAAAGTGCTGGGATTACAGATGTGAGCTACTGCTCCCTGCCTTCCTTGAAATGTTTTCAGTATGATTGGGGGTTGGGGAGATTCTCCAAGCTAACAGCTCTTTTCCTCCCTGAAACAGAAGCAGACGCTTCTTAAAGCAAACAGTGTCTGCCCTGGTTCCTGCCTGCTTGATTTATGTCTAGAGAATTCCTGGAGATGCTGAGTGGGCAGCTTTGGGTGGAAGGAGGTTTGATTTGTACCCAAAATCCCCTGGGACACCTCAGCCATCTCATCCACCCTACTTCCACTGCCCCTCACCTATACACACCTCTGGGTGACTGTTTCTTTTATTGTAAATCCTTGCACACAGAAGTCTTTCTGCCAAGGGTGGTTTTCCTTAAGGAAAGACACAATCTTTTGACTTCTGATGTTTTGGTTCGGTTTTGAATTTTCCCATGCTTAGGGATGTTCCCACATGGGCACATAGAATGTCAGGAGAGCTTCAATGTTTGCAGTTAAGGAGACAGGGATGGCAGGGCAAGTCTGAGATTTGGCCATTCTGGCCTTTGAAGGTGGCCAGCTCTGTTCAAGTCTCTGTGTGGAAGGAACCTTAGCTCCTCACCCTATGGTCAGACCTGCTCTGGCCTCTTCCTTCCTCTAGAGGAAGAGACCATTCCAGAAGTCTGGTGTACCTTTCCTCACTGCTGGACAGAACTGCTGCTATGCCTCCCTCTTCCTCAAGGAAGTTTCTTTGGTAACATGCCTCAGAAATTAATCTTCTGCTACATGCCTCAGTCAGCAAACATAGACATGCTGTAGGTGCTAGGCACCATACAAGGCCCTGAGGAGTCAGCAGCAATTAAGACACAGTGCTGGCCGGGCTCAGTGGCTCAGCCTGTAATCCCGTGCTTTGGGAGGCCGAGGTGAGTGGATTGCCGGAGCCCGTGGGTTCAAGACCCGCCTGGGCAACTTGGCGAGACCTCATCTCTACAATAAATCAAAAAATTAGCTGGGCGTGATAGCGTGCGCCTATAGTTCCAGCTACTCGAGAAGGCTGAGGCAGAAGGATCGCTGGAGCCCAGCAGGTCGAGGCTGCGGTGCTGGGAGTGGCCCCTGCACTCCAGTCTGGGAGACAGAGTGAGATTCCAACTCAAAAAAAAAAAAAAAAGAAAAGAAAAGAAAAAAAAAAAAGACACAGTGCTCACCTTTTGAGAATTTTGTCTAGGCAAGGAATGATGGTTCACACCTGTAATCCCAGTACTTTGGGAGGCAAGAGGAACGCTTGAGGCCATAAGTTTGAGACCAGCCTGGGCAACTTAGTGAGACCACCCCTCCTCTACAAAAATTTTTAAAAAATTAGCCAAGTGTGGTGTCACACACCTGCAGTCCCAGCTACTCGACAGGGTAAGGTGGGAGGATCACTTGAGACTAGAAGGTCAAGGTTGTAGTGAGCCATGATCATGCCACTGTATTCCAGCCTGGGCAAAAGAGCGAGATCCTGTTTCTAGAAAACAATAACAATAATAAATAAAAACTTAATCTAGCTGTGTAATTGATTAAGTGATGACAATATTGAGTAACAGACTTACAGGAGGAGTAGAAATGCGCATGACAGCTGGACAGCTGATTATAACCTGGGGAGGGCTGTTGAACCTCCTTCCTTCTGGAAGATTCCCTGTGGTCAGGCCAGATGGCATCTCCAGGGGGGGCCCCAGCTGTCCTTCCTACCCCAGACCACTCCAAGCTTAGTTTCCCTTCCCTGATTTTTTCCTTTTCCCTTTCTGGACGGAGTAGTAGATCTGTCTTCCCTCTTGCTTGGTCTCTTTCTCTCTTGTCAGCGGCACACTCGATTTCCTTCCTCTCTGGAATCTCCCCTCCTTCCGGGCAGAGTGGAGTTTGGAGCTGTCTGTCTCCTGTCGCTCTGTTTCTCACCACACAGATTTTCCTCCACGGTCTCCCTCATTTCAGCTCGGTAGGGTGAATTCTGCTGATGCAGACAGGGGTGAGCTAAATGTACTTGAGCCAGGGAGGCGTTATTTACCTAGCTGATCAGCTGACCCATCTATGTCTTCTCTTTGTTTCTTTGACTACCTCGAAATGTTGGGGTAAGGAAGTAACACTTTCCGGAACCTTTCTCTTAAAACAACCGGGTCTGTTTTCTTAAGAATGAGATTCGCAAACTGGCATACCTGAAACGTCACAAAATGATGGAGGCGTTCAACATTCTCAAAGTCAAGGTGGGCACAGAGTTTGTGGTTGAGGAGGCCCAGTGGAGGCGGCTGGCACAGATGGTGGCCCCAGACATGAGCAGTGCCCACCTGGAGCTCCTTTTGAGGATCTCCGACGAGGGACAGAAAGGACACGTGGGTAAGGAAGTTTCGCCCTGACCTTCCTCTTCCCTGGCTTCTCAAAGTGATGGGTGAAGCGGCCCACATTTTAAAATGCTTTTAGATTAGCAAATAAAAATGTGTATCTGCACTCTCTGGGGGTAACGATGCTTCAGAATTACTGTCTTCACTCCATGCTCTGACTGCACTGTCGCAGTGTACATTGCCACCAGCAGATGGTCACGGACCATTCAAAAGCCCTTACCTAGTGACGTGGTCCTTCCACCCCTGCAGTTCTGCTTAGAGAGGTTATCCGAATATGGAAAAGAGCTATACAGGTAGATGTCTAATTTGCATTTTTGTCTCTGAAAGTGAAAGTTGAAAATAACCTAAATGTTCATGTGTTAATGGTTAATAGCCATTATTACTAATGCTTACTATTTGTGGCATGCTTATCATATGTGAGGCCTTGTCACATTGTTTTCCACGCATTGTGCTGATATAATCTTCCCCCAAACATGTTGAGGTGGGCGTTTTTGATTTTTTTCTTTCATCTGTGCAAACTGAGGCTCACAAAGGTTAAGTGATTTGTCTAAGGTCACACAGCTACAGAGTGATAGAGGCCAATTGACTCCAAGGTCTGGGATTTTTATTTTTGTGCTAAACTGCCCCATATTCCAATAGCCACCTAATAGAAAAATGTGATGATATTCAAAATGACCAGAAAGGTGAGGCAGCAATGCAGAAAAGGTGAGGTGACGAAAATATACCTTAACTGTAGAACTCTCACATCTCACCATTTGTAAGAAAAGTCTAGAGAGGCAGATTGGACAGGATAGTGAGATTATAAGTAAGTATTATTGTAAATGATACAAGGACTCTCAACCTAGTCCGACAGAGCTATGGGCTTTATTATGTCTCCATGCTTCTGTGAGAAGATGACACACGATTGCTTGAATCCGGTATTCTGGGGAAAAAAGAGCCAAGTATAGCAAGACACCGTTAAATAGGTGCTGCCAACATCTTCCAATGAGAGTTTTGGATCCAGGATGGAGAAGACTTTTGTTTGAGTTCCAATCACATCTCCTCAGCCCAGTCGCTGTATATCATAGTGCCGAGTGTTCAGGCGGTCAGGTTTCTCAGACCTGAATAGATTGCTTTAGTGTCCCCCTACCCCCACCCCTTAGGGACAGGCAGTGATTTGATGTTCCTCGTAGCAATGGTGGGGAGAAGGGTGACTCAAGCCTCACTGGCAACCCTGGAACATGGCACTTTTCAAGCTATGTCCAGTGAAACTTTAAAATTTCTAATCTGAGCCAGGCTTGGTGGCTCAGCCTGTAATCCCGCGCCTTGGGAGGCTGAGGTGAGTGAATTGCCTGAGTCCGTGGATTTGAGACCCGCCTGGGCAACTTGGTGAGACCTCATCTCTACAATAAATCAAAAAATTAGCCAGGTGTGGTAGCGCACACCTGTAGTTCCAGCTACTTGGAAGGCTGAGGTGGAAG